CCAATTGTCTATTTCAAGAAACAAGTGCTACAATAATGAGTTTATAATAAGATCAAAACAACAGTAAATTAAACTTTTTAATTAAACTCAATATTTTAAACATTCCTTTTAATCTTTTATTAAATTTTAAAATCTATCATTACTAAACATATTTTAGTCGTTTGTTAATTCTTATAACATTCTAATTTTCTATTTCTAATACAAATACTACCATACCATCTTATGTACCTTGCAGAATCTTCTTTTTTAAAGAAATTATACATTACCCTTTATCCCTAAAAAATTTTCCTTTTTTCCCATCCTGTTTTATACCTTTGTGGCTTTTCCCTCCCTTTTCCCTTCCTTTCTTATCCCACCTAACCTTTTTACCTCCAGCTTCCCCTTTCTGTTGTATTCCTTTCTCCTTTTGCTCAGTAACATTAACATTGAATTGGTTTTGCATCTTATTTTTCCCTTTCTTAAGTATTTTTTTAAATCTTAAGTCCTTCATTTTCCTTCCTTTCTTTCTCCTTTCTCTCTTAACTAAATTTTTAGATTCATTGAAGATGGCGTCTTCTTCTTCCTCTCCTTCCATTTCCTCCATCTGTTGTTGTATTTGATAATTAACAAGCGCCATTTCTAAAAAGAGGAAGGCTTCTTTCACAGCGTCCTTTCTTTCTTCATATTCTCTAAGTTCATCAACAGATAAAGCCATTCTTTATTCTTCTTCTTAAAGCAACCAAAATGTTTCAAAAGTTAGAGCAATTCCCCAAAGTTCCAGAGAGAGTCAATCAGTCCAAACAAAACACAAAGTTCTCACTTTCTCTTCCTGGTGAGGTATCAAAGGGAAAGGAAAAAACCTCCAATCTATATTTTAAAGCCTTGTTGCAATTAATTTCTGGTCTCAAGATCTTCAAGGCATCTCCTCCAACAAAATCTTAATATATATATTTTTTTGTCCTCTTCCTTCCCACTTATAACAAGAAGCCAAGTTTTTACCTTTTATAAAAAAACAACAGGTTTCTCAATGGCCATTTGTTGATTCCATAAGGAAGAAGAGTGAACTTTCCCTTTCAGCACTCAATTTTGCCACTTGAAATCCTCCTCTGGAAACGAAGTATTGTTCAGAAAACCATAGTTCTCAGGATTAAACGCCTCTTAAAATCCTGGGTCAGCCACAAAAACTTTCTCTTAACAACTTTCTCCTCTCTTCCTCCTGCTCAGTCTTACCCAGCTGCCGGCTTCTTTGAGGCGGCCATTACAGACCACCGCTCAACCGTCTTGGGAGAGGGGGGTTTTGCCGGCTGGGAAGGGGGTCTGCAACACCCCCAAACCCCTCACCAGCTCCCCCTATCTTCGGCTGCCTCTTCGTGGCAGCCTTAGCCTCCAGATCCGTGGATCGGAGGCACCAAAGTGGCTAGCGCGGCAGGGATCGCGCAGGATTGCAAATCCCTGCCGCTAGCGAAGCTGACAAACCGGAAGTTTCAAGATATGCAATAAACTCTCTGAGGCTTGTGAATTACTGCTACGCCAGGATTGCCGGACAGAGTGTGGATTTATTGCTGTGTTTTGGAATTACTCCAGCCGTTCTCTTGTGGGGGGTTGTTTTTGATTTGAATTAATTCTGAAACGGCTGCTTTTTGTTTTGCTCGCCTGCAATTAAAGGGGAGACATAACAGGTATATATCCTAAAACAGTCCTAAAGCCAAGTGTATTCTACTATTTATTTATTTATGAATCAAAGTTGATGTGATTACCTGAAGCCCATCTTAAACAAGGATTTAGAGTCCCTCCTAAGTTTTATCATTTACATTATACTGTATAAGCATGTTCTACACATTTATGTTGTCTGTTTCTGAATACTGTGAATATTCATTTGAAAATAAGGTATCAAATAACATATACATGGAATTGTAGTCTTAAACTGATACCCGTTATCTTTTTAGTTAGAATTGATCATACGATTAGCATGTCATGAAAAAATTCTAGACATCTGTTTTATTTCTTTATTTATTAATCATATTTAACCACCCTTCTTATAATAAAGTTCTCCATTAGCATTTTTATTGAGTTATGAAGCATTATAAAATACAAAATACAAAGTAAATAGAAGTGTGGGGAGGGGAAAGAAAAGTGAGGAGAAATGGAGGGGGTGAAAAAGCAGCATTGACTTACAAGTCTTTCTGTTACAGTAAAATAATGATCAAATCACAACTTTTTCCTTTTCCATATTAATATGAACAAGTCATTTCTATAAAGATCTATCATTCTAATCAGTAAAGTCAGAGTTTTATTCTTTTCCACATCAAGCACGAAGTTCAGAAGTGGTTTCCATGTGGAAACAAAAATACTTATGTTCTTTTCTCCTTCTCCCAATAAAATGATTTTAGGCGCCTTATAATAAAAATTATCATAAAAAGCTAGATGTTGAAAACTACAATGAAAAGGCATCAACACTTTTATGGACAGCAAGCTAGAGGAAAATATATCTCATCTCATTAAAATGCCATTTCCTTGATGGCATAGGCATGCTTTGAGGGACTTCCAGAAGAATGTCAAGGATAACCATTTTATTTAATTGTCTCTTTGACTACTCATTTCTGGGCAGTCATACTCTATTTTCAAAAGTTTTTTTTTTTAAATCACTAAGCCTATGTATGGATGTGCATTTGTGTCTGTATTTAAACAATATTAATGAATTCAATATACTGGTTTTTTTCTATATTTTAATTTTTATTCAAAAAATTAAAATAGAAACTGAAAAAAAGGGAAAAATATTTAAAAAAACATTGAAAAATGTGCTTAAAAATGGACACAAACACATATGCATATATTATCCCCTAATTGAATACTGTTAAATATACTGCAATAATATTAGTTTCCAACTCCTTGCGAAGCAATTCCAAAATTTTTAAACTTCTGACTGTATTTGAAATCCATTGACCTGCCGTTTATCTACTATATTAATAACAAAGTGGTTAACAGGTAGAACAACAGCAAAAAATAAAATTTCAAAATCCTCTACTAACAATCTATGATTGTATTTAACTCGTAGAAAGTTTACCACAGCTGTTTGCTTCTTAATAAAATCTCTTATCAATTGTCTGATTGAATATAATTAATCCACTAACCAAAATTGATCTATTTTCCAGGTGGAAAATAGATAGATCCAGGTGGAATTGCTTCCCAGTTAAATATAATAAGTCAATTCCTCAATCTTATTCAATCTTCTTAAGAGAAACCAATTTATTGCTCATCTAATTCTGTCAGCTCTAAGTCTGTAAGGTACATATTACTTTCAGTTTTCTCCACTGAATCTGCCAGTTTCAGACCTAGCTCCTTTTCTGAGTCTGATTTAGCTGCAGTTGCTTGCATCTGAACATTCTCTTTAGATTGATTTGTAACCATTGTTACTTTGTCAAACTTTACTAAAGTTTTCAAATTGCAATTGTAGATTAAAAAGCATTCTTTCCTTGAACGCCTCCCAGAGAGCTTTGTCTGTAAATACTCTACCTGACCCTGTAGTTTCTTCCCCAAACCCCAAAAACTTTAACCTTAGATTATCTACTATTGACCTCACCCCTTTCCTAAGAGGTCTGTAGGGGGGGGGGGGCTGCATAAGTGCACCAACGTGTCTACAGTCCTTTTCCTATTGTTTCTTTATATCTTTCTTATATGTATCCATTTCATGTATCCATAACTATGTTTATACTTATACCTGTTATCTTATAATTGCTTGACAAAATAAATAAACAAACAGATAAATAAATAAATAAAATAAACTTACATTGTTTGCTCCCCTATAGCTCCTGTAGCTTAGCAATGAAAGATGAAAAGTTCTTCAAGGACAGAACATTCCTCGCATTAAAAATAAAGAAAAAGGAGGAGATTTTGATCCAAGATTAAAATAAAATTTAAGAAAATTTAGAAGTTAACAAAACAACAAAATTCCTACAGTGAGAGTCCAATATAGATGTAAATCAAATCAAGACACTTTCACTACCCAGGAACGCACAACTATGAAGAAACAATAGTCAAACCAACACAGTAGCTCAAACGAAAATGACAGAAAAAGAAAAATACATAAAATCCAGCAAGAGTTAGAATAAATCAGATTCAACCAGTTGGCTAACTTTGGCTAAATAAGATTCAACTAGTTGACTAACCAGTTGGCTAAAGATAAACAGCCAAGTAAAATAGAAATTTCAAAAAGTTCAATTAAAACCAAGGCATTTTCCCCACCCCCCAAAACGAGCAAGAGATGGAGGCCAAACTTTATGGCCATTCCTATTGGAAACTACAATCTTCAAGATTTGTTTTCCCAGGTGGGTCCACAGTCATCCCAAAGTTGTCTTGGGTCTTTCCTAAGTCTCCAGTTCAAATCAGGGAGCACCACCTCCACCACCAAAGAAACAGCTTTGGCAGCAAAATCAGTTGATTGTTGACAGGAGGGAAAGATTACCCTGCTTTTCAATACACCATCTTGGGGGACGTCCCAATATTGAAATACTATTATTCATCTTGCTCTTTTTTTCCTTTCTGCTCTACTTGGGGGGAGGTATTGCTGTTTCTTATATAGTTTTTAAGTTATCTACTATATTGTGAATTTGTTTATATTGTGACCTTAAAGTATTTTGTATTTAGGCAGTACCAAATGTAATGAATGAATCAATGAATCAATGAACAGTAATTATGGATTGTGTGTGTGTGTGTGTGTGTGTGTGTGTATATATATATATATATATATATATATATATATATATATATATATATATTCCTAATGTCTATATGTTTGCTTGAAAAATAACAAAATAAAAGTAATGTAATGTGACCACATATAATTTCTACTGAAAATTGCCAAAATGGAGTAAATATAATTAACGAGCAATATACAGATTTTTAAAAATATATATAAATACATGAGCAAAATATATCAGACTCATTTTTTAAAAAATTGTGCAGTATCACTCTTATTTTTATTTTTCATTTTTCTTCTGTTCTTTCTCCCTTACATGCTGCAGTTGCTAACATATTATGGAGAGAGGAAGGTACTATTAACTTTTTCTCCTTTCTATAATAATGAATTTGTCTCATATACATGTTATTTCTAACAAGCACACAATAGCTATTGTTATTATATTTTAATTATGTCTTCATAAATTGCTGCTTCAGTTTAAATTGCTTGTCATTGCAAATAATGCAATATGGTTATTTTCATTCAGAAAAAAAAATCAGTATCTACGAGACATTATGCATTATCACAAGTAAATTCCAATGGAGGATATTTTCCTAAATATGCCCTTCTGCTTTCATAAACCATCCAGCTAATTATGTTATCTATTGTCACAATGTTGACTGAGGGGTGTAAATCATCTTTTTTGTAAAGAATGATATCTTGTGAATCTTCTAAAAAAATTATATTATCTTGAAGTTACAAACCTATTGATCTTTTAAGCTTGCAAAATTGGCAAATAAATAAAAAGAGCTTCATGCCTCTAATTGCTTCTTTGCTTCTAATAATATATACAATATTATATTATATATAATATATAAGAATGGACTTATAATTTAAATATAACTATCAAAATTTTTAAAAGATGTTTCTCACGTGCAAAACCTATTTGGATTATCTCAGTAAAATATTTTAAGCATCAACATTAAACTTAAGTGTGTACAATATAGCAAAGAAAAATTTTAAACAACAGAGTTCAAAAAAACTGAAGTTTAAATTGAAGTGAAGTTTAAATAACAATAAAAGTGATAGAGATAAATCATTGAAAATATACAACATTTTATTTGTGTTTCATAGAATCTATGGAACATAAATAATATATTGTATGAGATTTGTGATTTGGAATTTTCAAGTTTTACTGAATCTAATAGAAAGACTCATTCACAAGATGATGCTCTGTTTATTGTCTCCTATTCCTTTGCCTCTAACAGCAGTTTGATATTATTTTGTCACTGTTCCATGCGGTGAAAATATTCACTTACTGATTTATTTGAGTAAAACTGTAAAAGCTGCCTAGATTTTTCTAACTCTTGCTATAACTATAGTATTTTACAAATTTAAAGCAAATTTCTCCATTTGATATAATACAGGGATAGGTTAAAATGAATCACAGAAACATGTCGAAAGATCAGGGACACATTGAACCTTTATGTGTATCTCTGCTCTTGGTAAAGTTTTTATACTTTCATAGAACAGAACAAAATAACAGAGTTGCAAAGGATCTTCTAGTAACTAGTCCAACCCCCTGCCCAGAAAGGAAACTATACCATTTCAGACAAATGGTTGTCCAATCTCTTCTTAAAACTTGTCCAATAGAAGACAATATATGTGATTCAAAGCTGAACTGTTGGGTTCTTAGTGCTCTTAATTTGGTTTTTCTCTTGTAGATATTTCATTGTTATATTAGCTAATGCAATCAGTATGAAGGACCTGTGTTTTATTGGATGTTTTATACATCATAGCTTGGCTTGTCTGTCTTAATGAAATTGTGTTTTCCTTCTTTATGGTGCCTTAATTAGGATATGTTTTCCTCCTGATTGTTTATCTAGTGCTGTTTTTTGCTTCTTTGAGTGTTGACTGGGGAGATAAAACACTGATGTGTTCTAGAAGATTTGTTTCCTTCTTAGGGTTTTGACTGTGTTGGTAAAATGTTATGTGAGTGGGGTTTGTTTCTACACATCTATTGATAATTGATTCATCTAATTATCAAGCTTGTAAAAATTCCTTAGCATTTTATATTTCCTTGATCTAAGATGTTCAGTTTCCCAATTGAAAATGGTTAAATCTGTCATATTATGAATTTAAACAGCTTTCATTATGTGTTCTGACTGCCAGTTTGTATGCATTCCATACAGTCTGCTAGTCTTCTGCCCGTTGGATCTACATAATGGCTGTTACAGTTTTTGCATTAGATGACTCCTAATTAGATTTCTTTGATTATTGGATCTTTTGGAATCCTTAACATGAAGTTTGATTTGCTTGGAGGCAGTTTGTTGGTTTAGATGCTACAGTAATGCTGAGTGAATATAGTACAGTATAGTATAGTTCATTGTCCTGCAATATTTTCATTTCTTTATTTCATTAAATTTATTATAGCTTCCCACTCAAGTAGTCTCTCATTGTATAAATACATTATAGTTTTTTCAGGTTATAATAGTTGCATTGTTGTGGGTTATATAGTTAGGTACTTTTTGATCAAGTAGGGCATCCATCACATTGGAAATATTCTATAGGTGATATATGTTCTCTTTCTTGTATACCAAGTTATTGTGGTGTATTGGTGCTTGTCTGAATGTTTCTGTACAGTTCCTTTTATGGATGTTTGGCTTGCGGTTAGTAAATGTTTGATAGTAAAACACTTTGTTAATGTGATTTTTTTTCTTCAAAAAGGTGGGTCTCTAATTTGCCATTGTTTCCTCTGCTAATGACAATATCCAGAAAGATAGTGCATTGTTGATTCCTTGTTCTCCTGCAAATTTTATTATTTTCTTGATTGTCTTCTTTAATTGCTTTTTTTATTATGATGAAAGTGTCATCTAACTAGCAGAATTTCACATTTGTATTGTGAAATTGTTACTGCTACTAGACATTGCATCATAGTTTCAGCTATGACTCCTAATAGTAGTGATCCCATGGGTGTTTCCCTCTTTTGGTATATTTGTTGAGCTAAAAGTAGGTGGTGAGAAAAAAGGTCAGCCTATGAGTTCCATAGATCTTGATATTTAAATATTTGGTATTCTCTGCTAGGCTGAAAGTAGTATAGTACTGCTGCAATGGGTTGTATTTCTAGTTCTGTATCTATGGATAGGGAAAGTGCTGGACATCCTATAAAAACCATAATTTCATCCTCTTCTGTTCTTAGGTTTTCTGGAGGTTTTCTCTTTGATTTTCTGGAGGCACTATAGTATGAATTGATAGAGTATTCCCTCCTATCTATGAGAAGTCCAAGGTTTTTTGGTGAGTTGATAGCTATATTGTTTGACGGGGACCCTGATAGTGATATGTTTGGACAAAATGGCTTGTGGATTTTTAGATATTTCATGGCAGTGTTTGAGAAAAGGTTGTATTCTTGTTCACTTGGATGAAATTAGATAACTTTCAGAAGCCTGATGTACTTCTCCCTGAATCTGGAACAGAGACAGATCATCTGATAGCCAGAAATATTTGATGTATGATTGCATCCTTTTAAACATTGGATTTACAGATTCAATAGAAAGGACTATAAATAGAATATAGGATTGAATATATTTCACTGGATAGGAAACTGATAGGGATATGTGGATGTCTGAAGGGGACTGGTGTGTTTGGACCCTATTTTTATAGGATTTGTCATAAACTGTAAAACTTATTACATTTGGAGATATTTTCCTTTAAGTCTGTTTTTATATTGCATTTTTGTATTTAAATTCTGCTTGAATTATTGCATACTACGATAGTAGAGATTATAATGTGTTCCTGAAAGTGTACTTGGCTATCTTTGATTAAGGAACTTGTTTATAAATATCTGAGAGAAAATAAAATAACTGAAGTTGTTTAGCCTCGTAATGAAAAGTCTGCAGGAAGACATACATCCAAGTCCAGAGAATACCAAGAACCTGGTCTGTCATTCCAAATGACAAAATGGTTGCTTATTTGCTTAAAAAAAAATACCTGAGTATTAATCTTTTTTCTGGATCACTCTCTAGATTTATGAATGGCTATAAAATTGAATACAAATATTGTCTCTATCCTTAGTTTCACCTTCATTTGTTAGAAATCAAGAGGATTTCTAAATGGACATGCATTCTAAAATGCAATAAGAGTTTTATATCCTTGTAAATTGTCTACAATTATTGCAGGCTGTGTATCAATGAAAGAATGGAAGAATTTGCAGTACTTAAGATAATAATATGAAGAAGAGAGGTTCTCATTATATCCTGACATAAAAAAGTTACAATGGATTTTACAGGAAATAGTTTTGGTGTGTCTATAATCTGTTATCTAATGGCTAGTAATCCAAAGGAGGTATTTAATGTCTTTCCTTCCCTAGAAAAAGTGGGAAATACACCCCAAAATGCACTGTGATCAGTACATGTGTATTCCATTTTTAAAATATTTAAAAAGCCTGATTTATACCCAGATAAACCAGTCTTTTTGAAAGGTAGAGTTTTTTTTTGTGGTGCTTTCTCCCAAATTAAATAAAATTAATTTCCATTGCTAGATCTGATCTTTTTAAAAAATTGTACAAAAAATTATCAGATCAGAAATCTAGTGCTAAAAGTATATGGCCTGCTGAACACTAGTTTTCATGTTGGTATCCTGTGAGATACATTATCTTAAAAAATAGTATCCCTGAAACTTTAGCTGTCAGATCCATTATACAAATGATACACTAATAGTTATATTAACAGAATGATGTTCTCCTAAAGTAAAGTTATGACTGGCTGCAATACATAATATATGCTACCGGATATGTAAAATGCTATTTTATATTATACCATTATTATTTTTTATGTCCTCACATAACTTTAATCCTTTTTAGTCTCAGATAATGGCACGTACAGTATAAGGGTTATTTCCATTTTACTTAAAAATAATTTCAGAGTGATATTCATGAGATTATTTGTTTGTCATTGAGGCTATTACATGAACTCTTGAATCTACATTTTTAAAAACCCTGTACAATCAGAGTTACTAACTTCTCATGCATTAACAAATCAATCTCTTTGGCTTTTAATTAAGGTTTTGTTTAATCATCATTCATTAGGTCTTTAATATACTTTAACATATTTTTCGCTCCTAAGGTCTGGGAATTGGTAATATGTTCTATGTGTTTTATGAAGATGGAATCAAAGTGATACAACCAGTAGAATGTGAATTCCAGAGACACATTAAGCCTAATGAAAAGCTCCTTGGATTTCAGGCAAGTATTCTTAAAATACAGTTATTAGGTTTTTTGTTTTTTTTACCTCAGTAATGAAATCTGCCAAACACTGAATGAAAGACATTCTTCATTACCACTGAATTTTCATTATTTGTATCAGGACATCAGGAACAAATTTCACATACAATATTATTGTTATTATTTAAAAAAAAAAATACCCAAAGCATTTGTGGAAATTTTTATACAAATCAAAAAGTATATTACATTCTACTTTTATCATGTGAGGCTAAAATAGAGGGTGGAAAACCATGTATTGAAAAGGTGCACTTTTAAATACAAATATTAAATATGGAAAGGATTTGCATGGTCCCTCTCAGATACGATGTGACTTAGAATGAGGAGATCACATCTTTCTCCTTCAGTCCTGGACACTTTTTACAGAGGCACAATTGAGAATGTTTTAACAAACTGCTTTACTATTTGGTTTGGTACCTCAGATAGAAAGTCCATACAGAGAGTGGTAAGGACAGCCGAGAAGATGATAGGAAGCTCGCTTCCCGTTATTCAAGATACTGCTTGTAAGCGCTTTGTGCTTAGAACTCAAAGCATTGTTAGAGACTCCACATAACCACTTTACGGACTTTTTCTGTTCCCCTCTGGGAGTAGGATTCAAAGTACAGTATTTCTAGCAGGACTAACAGATTCTGTAACAGCTTTGTTCCCTATGCTATCTATCTGGTAAAATCACAAGATTCAGTTTTCTTCCCATATACACGTATACGCCTGAACTAGACTGTGATGTTTCTCTGTGTCATAAAATATATGTGATATATGCATAATTTTGTATTTATTAATTAATTTAGTCATGTTTATGTAGTGTATATTGAAGGTGGTGACCCTTTGAAAACTATATGCAACAAAATTTCATTTTAATGTATGCTGATTTGTGTATATTCAAAGTGAAAATAAAGTCATTCTAAGTCTTAGAAGAGTTTGCATCTGCTTCTAACTTTAAGACAAAGTTGCACATTATTAATTAGATATAGTCTGATTCTATCCTGGCTTGTTTGTACAAATAATTTTAACTATATTTTTTCATCTGGAAATATAAATATCTAAAAAAAAAGCACCACTTAAAAATTTAATTCCAACCTTTATTTAATTCCAACCTGTATTTAATTCCAACCTGTATTTAATTCCAGCCTTTTTTTTTTTTTAACCTACAGACTCTTTATAAGTGGGATTAGGAAATTTATTTATATTTCATTTTGACATGTGATGATTCAGATTGTATCTTCACAGTATATCAGAAAAAAACTGTCAAAATGGAGTCTACAAAATTCTAGAATCAGTTTTAAATTGTGTCTCTTAAAATATTCCATATGAGAGAAATCAGTTTTTTCTTATTTTGTATGCCAAAGAAGTTGCTGTGAATGGAAATAAGATAGTTGCTTAACAACTCATCAGTGCCTGCTGCTTTTCCTTCACTTGAAGTCATAATCTTTGATAGCTCATAAGTATTGCTACAGCAGTCTACTAGGATGCATCAAATAGAAGCCGTTATGTTAGGAATAAGTATCATCTGTATGCTAAAATATTTCCTGATGAGCTGTTCCTAAGAATATTATGAAGACAAATACAGGTACATGTGCCACAATTCTAAGGGTTTTTTTTTAATATAGACATGAAGATTTTTTTAAAAAAGAAAACTGTGGTAATATATTACATTATTTAACATAAAACTGTGTTTCTTTATTAGTATTGGAATATTAAAATTATTTCTACTCGTATTTCATAGCTGGTTTATAATGTGTTGTTAGGAATGTGATATTTACTAATGATCAGAGATAATATACAGTGTAAATCCCCGGAGCACTTCATATTTGGAAACTAAGAGGATGCTTAGAAGCATGCAGGGATGTTCATGGAATATTTGGCAATTGCCTTAAGGAAGCTGTTTTTCCTAAAATTATGAATCCCAAAATATATTTTGCTTTCTAGTAAATAATTACACACATATATACTGTACATACAAACAGACATGTATTCAGATCCAATGCTGATATATGAAGGCAGTATCTTCATCTCCATATTAGAAATTAAATTAAATTAAAATCACAGTTAAGGAAATGAAAAATAGGATTTTTTTTAAAAAAAAATTCTTGTACCGTGTTTCTCATATAATAAGGCCGGGTCTTATTTTTTTTTGAGCCCTGAAAAAATGGCTAGGCTGTCTTTTCAGGGGTGACTTAATTCCCCCCCGTTGCATCTTTGGGCGGGCGGGCAGCGACGGCTTGGATGTTGACCTCGGCATTGGTGGGGCACTTCGTATCGGGGTCAACGCAAGCAGCACCATATCCGGGTGTGCAACAAAAGTACTTCCTAATGGCAAGCCCCCCCACCATTCCCCCCATTTTGCATGTTTTAATATAGGCCTTAATTTAGGGGGAGGGGCTTAATTTCATTTCATGCCTCTAAAACATGCTGGGACTTCCTATTGGGGGAGGCCGTATTGTTGGAGAAACAGGGTATATATAGCAACTCAAGACCCTATCAATATTATCCTTCATTTTAAAAGAAGTGGTTCCTGCTACTACAGTAATGGCATATATAACTGCAAGATATTCTCAACATTACTTCTGCAAATACGATAAACATGACTAAATATTTGGCAATACGTCTATGGAGATTCTCAGTCATCCAGGTCTTGGTTGTCCCAAATATGCTTCTTTTTATTTTTCAAGAGGCAACTGGATTTTCTGTTTTTTCTCTGAAGAGGTCTCACTTCTCATCCAGAAGCTGAAGATGCGAAACGTCTTCAAAGAAAAACCATAAAGTCCAATTGCCTGTTGAAAAAAAAGCAACTTTGGGATGATTTGGTAATATCCTTCCATCTCAAAATATTGTAATAATGCAGGATTACAACTCATTCTGCTTGCCCTGGTACAAGGACAGCCCCAACCTAGGAAAACTTGTCTTTAGACTGCCATACAGGCTAATTATGGACATCCTTTCTTGTTTTTGTCAAGGTTAATGTTTTAATGTCAGGCTTTGCTAGCACACATGATGCTGCATTGTCTGCCTTGATGTTAATGTAGTTAAAAGTATGTGCTCTAGTTAGATAGTGTATGTTAATATGGGCACAATCTGTCTCTTCAAGTTGCTGATGTCTATGACTGTTTCATCCTGGGCTGCATGAACAGTGAAGCACTGGGCATTAGGGTATTGTGTTATTGTTGTTGTTGTTGTTTTTAAAGCTAGTGAACTGATAGAATCTGACTTTTTAAATTTCTTGACAGTAATCTCTGAAAAAACAGAAAAAGGATAGAGGCTCAAGAGTCTGACTCTGGTTAGTAAGAAAAATGGAAGTTTCAAGGAGAGAGAGTTCCCAAGAAGGAAAAGATCCTTTATGCTTTTGTTCTTTAAAAAAAAATTATTAAGCATGTTTTATCATTTTGTATCACATTTACAATCTTTGCAGTGCTCCAGCATTGCTGATATTCATACATACATACATACATACATACTTACATACGTACATACATACATACATACATACATACATACATACATAGATGTATATGGATCTTTGGTTTTTCGGGTTTTCTCCCACATAAAATTGGAAGTATCTAGGCGACGTTTCGATGAAGTCTCATTCATCATCTTCAGGCTTGTGTCTTCGGCTTTGTGCTTCTCAGAGTAATGTGAGCTTGCAGCTGCTTCTTCCTTTTAACTGCTAGTGGGGGTGTGACTTGATTGGGTGGGGGCTTGGCTGTGTTCTGATTGGGTGGGGATGTGTTCTGTTCAGGTGGGGGTTTGGCTGTGCTCAGGTTAGTCTTAGTTGCTGGGGGATTTGAGCTGGTGAGCTGTGATCCTGTTGTTTGGCTTTGCGTTCGTGGTCGTGCCACATCTTCATGGTGGGCGTCAGTTCGCTTCATGTATGGGTTGTGGAGGGGCTTGAAGCGGGTAGTGATGCAGCTGCGGTACGGCTTCTGGTCTGTGGTCGTGTCTCATCTTCTGTGTGGGTGTGAATCTGCTTTCTACGTGGAAGTGTGGTGGTAGCATCTTGTGTGGCCCTCGTGGGTGTGGGTCTGGTGTCATTCTTCATGTTAGGTACTCGTTTGTTAATGAGGGCGGGTTTCCAAATGGCTGGTAGGCGGGAGGTATCATCTCGTTTATTCATGCTGTGTGGGCGTTTTCTATCTCTATGGCTTCTCTGATTATTCTGTTGTTGAAATGTTCGGTTTTGGCGATAGTTCTGGTATTTTTAAAGTCAATCTCATGTCCTGTGGCTTTGAGGTGTTGGACCAGGGAAGAGGTCGGTTCTTCTTTTTTGATTGAGTTCTTGTGTTCTTCAATGCGTGCTTCTGTTAGTTTGTCCAATGTATGTGGTGGGACAGGCTGTGCAAGGGATTTCGTATACTCCTTGGTTTTCTAACTCGATGTATGTGTGTGTGTGTGTGTGTGTGTGTGTGTGTGTGTGTGTATATGTGTGTGTGTGTATATTTCTATTTATATAATGGTGTGTATATATATATATATATATATATATATATATATGTTTTCTGAGGTTCTCGCGGGTATTTGTATGTGGATCTTTGGTTATTCGGGTTTTCTCCCGCGTAAGATTCAAAGTATCTAGGCAACGTTTCGGCGAGGTCCCACTCGCCATCTTCAGGCTGGTGCTTTTGGCTTAGTGTCAGTGCAAGCAGTGTGTGACCGGAGCTGCCATCTCTCTATATATACAAGTGGTGGGGGATGGTGTGCTGGGCTGGTTGGCTGTGCTGCAGCCTCTTGATTGGTTGATGGAGTTGATGTTGGTATAATGGGCTGTGTAATGGCCTTTTGTTGTAGAGATATCTTGGATCTTGTGCTGTCATCTCCTGGGTCGTTAGCCTCTTGTGTTTTAACGGCTTGGGTAATGGGTTGTGTGATGGGCTTGTGAGTTCTTTTGTTGTGGTATCCTGGGTCTTGCGTTGTAATCTCCTGGGTCGTTTGTGTTTTGATCTCTTTTCGATTAGCCTCCTGTGTAGTAACAGCTTGGGTAATGGGTTGTGTGATGACCTTGTGAGATTTATTGCTGTGGTATCCTTGGTCTTGTGCTGTGATATCCTGGGTCATTTGCTGTGTTGTGACT